GGCATAGCCAGGAGGGAGCACTCCTTCCATGTATCCCTCGTGTTTGGTGTGTTAATTCCTTTCTAATACCAATGATTGACCGTGAATTCAGTGTGTATGTAGGAATGGGAAGGAGGGGATAGGAAGTTTCAAACCAACACCATTAACTGCAGCTCAGTTTATGCTGTTTATCATGAGGCTCGGGACGCCTTAATAGATTGAGGAAAGGAAGATGTCAAGTGTCACCCTGCCCCTGCTCAGAAAGCTGCGTTGAAAGACCAGCATGTTGCTTGTTTTCCTCAAAGATATCTCAAGGAATGTTGTCCCTTGAGGTGACTAGCTACTAGAAAGTGAAAAGGTGGTGGTGTGCTTTCGTTTTCTTGCAATATGAACTGTTGAGATACTGTGTGATTCCACCACCTACCTCCCCCACCTCCCAAAGAGATGAGTTATGGTGTCATTTAATGTGAATGATTCAGAGGGAGGTATTATTAGGGAATCAACGTAGAAAATGGCATGATGCCCTGCCAGAATGTTCTTGGACTCCTGGCAGAGTGATTTCTGCACTGTGACCTGTGCATGCTCATGGTGATGCTGTCCTGTTGAAGAGTTATTTTCCCCTTTTGAAGGAGTCAGGTGCAGAAGGAGGAAATAAACAGTGATAGCATGCTAGGCCCGAACTGAAAACACCAGTGAAAGCTACCACTGCTGTTTCTGCTCTCTACACCTAAGGCCCACTGCTCCCAGCTGTCAGCCAAAAGCCCTTAGTTCTTGCGCTGCAGCCCACAGCTTTATGAAGTGTTTATTCAGGGGACTACATAGATCAGTTCAAGTGGATGTTCACAGAGATGAATGAGGCTTCCCTCTCTCTTTCTTTCTCTCAGAGGAGAAGACAATCACTGGATATGCAAACCGTGGAACTTGGCCAGAAGCCTGGATACCCACATCACCAACAGCCTTAACAATATCATCAGGCATAGGGAAAGCAGCCCAAAGGTTAGAGAGAGTGGGTTTGAATGTGACTTAAAGGGGGGAGCTGGGAAACCTGCTTCATGGAAGGAGGTCTAAAAATAAAACTAAATTTATTCTCTTCAAAATTCATGTGCTGGCCATTCAGTCAGTTCAGAATTGATTCAGATTGGTGTCAATTCAAATTGACTCAAAGCTCCATTTGTTGCAGCGATGAACTCGGAGCCTGGTGTTTTCTTATTTAAAAAGTAAAACTTGGCCAGACAGTGCTGAAAGCACCACACTGGAGTAGCTTTAATGCTAATCCTCAGGCTGGCAGGTGAACATGCGTTAGCTGTAGTTAGCGTTGGTCATAAATTTTGCTTTCCCCCCTGGCTGATCAGTACTGCTGATCCACAGCTCTGCACAGTGGCACAAAGTACCAGCAGGAGATGAATCTTGGAGCTTCTATCGGGATTCCCCAATATGCAGTCATGCATCAGCGTGATTTTGGTTGGCGGGTGCACTGCGTGTGTTTTCCGGAACGCAGAAAGAATCGCTTCATGCTTCTGGTTCAAAAGAACAAGATCACCAAGATTCTAAATAAAACCAATTAATTAAAAATGAGTACATTCTGACCTCCTACCTTCCCCACCATGATGTCCAAGAGTTTGAGAAAAGGTACCAACTTGTATAGTGTGTTTGTGCACGTTTTTAAAGAGAACCTGTAATGCATACAATAATACCTTAACTCATCGAGAGCTAGTGCCACTCTGTTTTCAATTCAGTTGAATTTTGTTTACTGTGGTTTTGCTTTGTTGCAGGTAGTGTGCAAATATATTGAGGATCCGGTCTTGTTTCACCGGGAAGATGTGGGAATGGTTAAATTTGACATCCGTTATGTTGTGTTGCTGCGGTCCGTAAAACCCCTCAAGCTGTACACCTACGATGTATTCTGGCTGCGCTTTTCAAATCGGTAACTGTGTTCTCCTCATGAGTGTGGAGGGGCTTAGAATTAAATCTAATGCCTTTGAAACTAAGGAATTGTTTTATTCCTTAGGGCATTTTCACTTGACGACTTGGATGACTATGAGAAGCATTTCACAGTCATGAATTATGCTCCTGGTGTAACATTAAAACAGGTAAGCAGACAGTCCAAAACCTTCCCTCGCCTTTCCGTTGTGAGAAAATCTCCCAGTGCCTCCTTTGTGACTGTTGCCAAATGATCTATTTTACCTTCCCTTAAACAAGCAATCCGTGGGTTGAAAGTACCTTAAGTCTAAGCATGTATGTTCCTAGGCTCTTCCCTCCTCATCTTTGGGGATTATATACAGCAATACAAACCTACATCCTGAATATAACCCGCATTGACAGAGATCGGTGAAATGATTATTAAAAGGGCAGCCAATTACTGTCAAAGACCTCAGTGTGATCTTTTATAACAAGAAATACTGGAACAAAGAAGGTATTCAGGAATTGTCTAATTACCCAGTACTCTACCTGGGTTTGTATGAATAAATATTTGATGTTCCATTCTTTTGACATCTGATTGCTCAGTCATTCCCAACCAAAACAGTCTTTGTTGCTAAACTGTTTTAGGTACACTGTGAAGAATTTATTCCTCTGTTTGAAAAACAATATCCTGAATATCCTTGGACAACGGTACAAGTAAGTCAGCAATTGATCTTTCTGGTGTAAATGATCATGCATCTTTTCTTACTCGGCAAACTAGATTTTACCCTTGCATCTTAGACTTGGCTCCATTTCAACACAGCATTCTCTTAAGAAGAAACTGAAATGCAGTTGGTTATCTCCACCTAGAAGCAAGTTCTGACTACCCTAGGGATTCTGGGAGCAAGATTTTATTTTTTTTTTATTTTTTTTTTTTTAGAGATCCCTCTTTCTTGAAGAAGGTTGCCAATATTCTAAACCCGTGGTGGTGAAGACGTAGCATTTCAAGGCAGGGAAGTCCAGAATATAGTGTGTGCTAATCTACACAGACACACTATCTATAGTGTGTCTACAAAGCCCTTCCTACTCTTCAGTAGGGTAGTAACTCTGTTCCTGAAAAGTTGAACCCCCAAACTATTTGCGCTCTTGCTTCCTTTGTACCAGAACAGCTTCACAGAATCACAGGATGGTTTGGGCTGGAAGGGACCTTAAAGCCCATCCAGTTCCAACCCCCTGCCATGGGCAGGGACACCTTCCACTAGACCAGGTTGCTCCAAGCCTCATCCAGCCTGGCCTTGGACACTTCCAGGGATGGGGCATCCACAACATCTCTGGGCAACCTGTCCCAGTGCCTCCCCACCCGCTCCAGGAAGAACTTCTGCCTGATATCCAATCTAAACCTCCCCACTTTCGATTTAAACCCGTTACCCCTTGTCCTGTCACTACAGGCCCTTGTAAAAAGCCCCCCCCAGCTTCCTTCTAGCCCCTTCAGGCACTGGAAGGTGCTATAAGGTCTCCCTGGAGCCTTCTCTTCTCCAGGCTGAACAAGCCCAACTCTCTCAGCCTGTCCCCATAGCAGAGGGGCTCCAGCCCTCGGAGCATCTTTGTGCCCTCCTCTGGACTCACTCCAACTGGTCTATATCCTTCTGATGTTGGGGGCTCCACAGCTGGATGCAGAATTCCAGGTGGGGTCTCACAAAAGCAGAGCAGAGGGGTAAAGAGCTTCACAAGGTAAAGAGCTGTCAGAACTAGTAGGAAGCTAAAGTAAATAAACAGTGATGGTGTGTGATAATCTTGGTGAAACAGCATCACAGGGTTTGATTTATGTGTTTGAAGCAGAGCTGCAGCTCTAAAGATCTCCCTGTGCGCTCTCAGGTTTGCTTGCTGTGCAGCGCACGGCGGCTCGCACACAGGGTAAGAACGTGCCCGGCTGTGCCCCAGCGCCGACAGGCAACAGCGCTGCCCCTGCTCCAGGGGTGCTGTGCTGGAAGGGTCATGCTGCTGGCGTTGACTTCTTGTCTGTAATTCATGCTTGAAAGAAAAAGCTGAGTGTGAAGAGATGGTTCTGAAACGTGCACAAAAGTGAATTGTTGCTGCTTTCTATATTTTTCAGGAGCTAGGAGGTGCAAAATGAACGGTGGCTGAGTATATGTATATGTGTGTATGCTTTCAAAAGTGAATAAATCGCCCATCTACGGGTTGATTTCCATAAATTAATTTACATCAGCTTTAACTAGATCCTCATAGCCAATCAGTGATATGCTGAGTATGACAGGTTTTGCAGCATTAGTTTTAAGGTGGGCTGGAAGAGACTGCAAGGGGTGGAGAGAGAGAGAGACGTCCAAGTACGTTCTGTAGGTTACCCGGAGTAGGACTGTGTGCAGAACAGGACGTGCTACACCATCTTCTCATGTGCATTTGGGGCTAATACTGTGCTGATTTTTCATCTCCTGGCTCGCGTCATTTATACAAGTCCTTTAAAAAGCCGTACGGATGGAGCGATTGAAAACATGTTTATTGCTTTTATGGAACCTCACTTCTCATGCAGACCCCTTTCTGTCATTAGGCAAGTATTTTTAAGGCATTTGCTGAATTGTTCCAAACTGCTTCAGCTAAACCTGCACCTCTTGGCATCTGTGATTATCCGTCATCGAGAGCGATGTATGCCGTTGACTTGATGCTTAAATGGGACACCAGCAGAGACGGTGAGAAGCTCACTTCTTTGAATGCTGAATTCTTTCTATTTGTGGACCTTTTCAGAAATTTATTTCCTGTGTCTGAACTCCCTGTTTTTCAAGCAGCGTGAGCTGTGTGCTCTGTGCCTCCTGCTGACGTCTGCGTAGCTGCGGTTGCAGATCGGTGAGGTTACATCTGCCACGCTGCTTAACAGTAATGATGGGGAAGCTGTTAACTTCTGGTTACAAGCTGTGCGTGGCAGAGTCCTGGCTTCCCTTCTGCCCCTGCTACTGCCATTCTCTGTTTTTAAAAGCAAACAAACAAGAAACACCACAAAACAAAAACCACACGAACCCCACCTGTACAGCAATCTACTGACAGCAGCAAGTTTTCTTTCCCGTTTATGGTGAGAGAATGTCTGAAATACCTGTCTCTTTACAAAAACCTTAAAGAGGTATCTTGCTGTCTGTGGCTTCCAGGCTTGACCCAGTGTCGGCAACGCACAGTCACTCATTGAAGCCGGGAAGGGCCCACATTCACCATTTCAGTGCTGTTGATGGCCTCAGGACTGGCACTCAGTGGTTGCCAAGTTCCTGCGAGAACACGTAAGCGGAGCTGCGTCATGTTAGGGCCACAGCATGGCTAGCAACTACCCGGAGCCTTTCTTCCAGCCGGTTGTCGAGGCCTGGTGGTAAATTTGCCAAGCAGGGTAAATTCCCTACTTCCTCACCAGGAGGCACAAACACGTTCTGTAAATGTGCCCAGCCCGGACAGGTGTCTCTTGCAGCAGAGACACCAACGCGAGAGGGGCTTCTGGTGGAGTGTTTAACAGAGCAGAGTGCACTCTCTGCTTGTGACAGGCACTGTGGTCCCTGAGACGCAGGAAAAATTCATTGCTTGTGCCCAGCTTTTCCTGAAGAAGTGATTAAAGTTGTATGTTGGGTGTGTGCCCCTAGTCCAGTCCTGCAGCGGCTGGTTCTGTCAATATTGGATCACTTTCATGGAGTGAGATGTCTGAGAAACGGGAGGTGTTCAAGTGAGCCTTTGCTGTTCAGATGAAGTGGAACAAGAGGTTGAATTTGGTCTGCAACGTCTGTGCTGAATGCTCTTTCAGCCATCCCAGAGTTGTCCTGAACAGGAGAAGCAAAGCAACTCTCTGCTATTACTAGCTGGAGAGAAAACTGTTGCAGTGGAAGGACCAAGCTCACAGTGCAGGCCCTGCGCCTTTTTAAGACAGGGGCACGGGTGCTTACGTCACGGCTGTGATGCTGTAGGCCGCCTTTGGAAAACCAGGTTGGTTTCTTCTGAGCAGAGCAGGGCATGGTTTGCCAGTGCATCAGAGGTTTGACCCTCAGTGACAATCCCAGCACTCAGCGATGGGAATTGCAGCAAGCTCTCATTCTGAATGAGGCTTTGGATTAGCACAGCGATTGCAGAATCTGTGGGGTAATTGTCCTCTGGGTACTGATGGCAGAACAGACCTCCGTCCCGCCCAGAAAAACCCGTGCCCGCTGAAATAAAAACACCCTACCGGCTTACCAGCTGGGGTCACGAAGGATGGCCTTTTCCAGCCATTCTCTGTAGTCTCTGACTTAGTGATTCAGGATCTCTGCAGAGCTTGTACTGAGGCTGCGTTTGTGTTCCCCTTCACAGGGAAAAGAGTTATGCAGCCTCAGATCCTGGAGGTGAACTTCAATCCTGACTGTGATAGAGCCTGCAAATACCACCCCACCTTTTTTAACGATGTCTTCAGCACCCTGTTTCTGGATGAAACGGACAGCTGCCACGTGACGTGCATTGCCTAGCCACAGCAGGCTCGGCTCGACTTCCTTCCCTTCACAGCAGGATCTGTATTTCAGTTCTATGAGCTGCTGATGCAACTGTTTCCCTCCACTGGTAACCCAGGGAAAAAAAATACGTATGAGAGGAATATGCATATATATATAATCATTTTGTCTGCATTTCCCTTGTCTCACTTAGTTCTATAAATCATGCCTTTGTGTTGACTGAATGTCTTGCTTATTGAATATGGGAGACCTCGGGGTAGGACAGTAACTGGAGCAACTGACTGGGTTTTCAGGTAGCCTGATTGCTTGCTTGCTGGGAAACGTGCACAAGTTCCCCGCGTCGCCATTAAAACTGTAATTTTCTAAATCACCTTGGAGTTTGCATATCTCTCTGATCTCTCCCTCTGTTACGCAAAGATCTAAAATGGGAAAATAATACGGTGTTGCGGTGAACTACCAGGGTAATGAGATTAAAGATTTGGTGCCTTTTCCCATTTTTCTCATTTAAAAATATGGAAAACAAACCCCACGACATTTAGGAAGCTTGTACAGGCTGTACCCTTAGTCTGCCCCTTACAGAAACCAGATTTTTCGAGAAGGGGTCTGGCAGGAAGCGAGCGGATGCAGCGTCTAGAGCCGCACAGGAAAGCAGAAGCGGCCTGAAGGAATGAAAGGGAGCTGGGAAACTGCTAGAAGCTCGAGCCATCTTTGGACTTCAGAGTTTAGTGCCTGAGAGTCGAGAGTGGAGTGTCTGTCTGAAATTAACAAGTCCTCATCTCTCCTCCCTCCTCGCAGCAGGGTAACTGGCTGAAAGTCAGCAATTTTAGGCTGTGTTTATGTTGCCTTGTAGGTACGGAATCACAGGATGGTTTGGGTTGGAAGGGACCTTAAAGACCATCCAGTTCCCACCCCCTGCCATGGGCAGGGACACCTTCCACCAGACCGGCTATGTTCAAGCTGCACAAATCCTGCTGTCAGTGACGAGGCGTATGCTCTGTGGGCAGCGTGGTTTTTAAGCGAGTTGCAGCCATCCGGATCTGCTTGAGAGCAAAGCAGAGTTACAAAACGGCGTGTGTTCTAAACCTTGCTTCAAGCTCTGCGAACGCGCAACACGTTACCCCTCGTGGTCGGGAAGGGAGAGGGGTAGTCTAGACTTTTTGGCTGGTTGGCAGAACCCTAATTCTTTCCACTGACTGGGACGCAGGCTGGAGGAATAACCCATTGGTGTCTTACGGAAGTTCCGTCGCCGCACAGGTGGGGCAGAAAGAGCTGGATCGCACAGCCAGACGTGGTGCCGACAGCTGTACCAGCCTCCTGCCCGTCAGTCAGAACTTCTTTGGTCTCCTCACTAAAATGTGATTAAAGAAACACGGTGCTTAACACATAAGTGGTGTGACTACTTCCGATGCAGGGGAAGAAGTTTCTGAGCAGTACAGGATACAGGAACGGGTGCTGGAGGCTGGACGTAAGGGGACGTGTGGTGCTGCTTGGCTTGGTCACCTGTGGGAGAGCAAAAGGCACTTTCTGCCCTCAAAGCACCTGGAAACCTGTAACCAAGTGCCTGTGGATCCAGAGTAAGCGGGAAGGTCTCCCTCGTCACAAAGGGCAAAGAGAGGTAAGATTTAGCAAACCAGGTTGACTTTAGAGAAAGGATTAAGAGATTTGTGCAGCGAGACCACAAGCCGTGGGCAAAACCAGACTGTTGTTGTGCTGTTAGGCCGAAGAGATGTGTTTATAGGTAGCGACTGGCTCAACCGTGCATCCCACGTCAGCTGCCGTGACCCCGGAGAGGAGAAACCCGTGTTTCTGTTTCTAGGCAGCCGAAGGGCAGGAGACGGTGGTGGCTATGGCGTACGTCCTGGCCTGCTGGGACGCAGAGCCACCCGTGGCCCCGCTGCCGGGTGAGCGCACTGAGGGTGCAGGTGGAATACGCTGGCGCTCTCAGGGCAGCGCTGCTGGCGACACCTCGGAGGCGGGCGCTGGGGCTGCTGAATATTTGGGCCCTTTCAATTTCTGTCGGGTGCCCCGAATTTCCTGTTCCTTCTTGCCCGCTGTATTGGTGAGGAGATGAAGGGAATACCTTTGAGGCTAGAGCATCCTGTTGCCTTCAGTATTGTTCTGCTCAAAACCATTTAAAACCAATAAAAACAGAGGAACAGGGTTAGTTTGCATGTAGTTTAATGCATTTAACCAACACTAGAACGTACAGTGCTTCAAAGTGGGAAGGCACAAATTGTGAGAAAGCTCTCAACTTAAATGTTTCCAGAGTACAGGGACCGAAAGGTAAGTGTCTGGCAGCTGTAGTGGGACACATCTCGGGACCAGAGCACCGTGCCCAGTGGTAAACATGACGGATTCAGGCCGCAGTCATGGCTGCCACCGTTAGGAGCAGCTTTCGGGACGCTGTGTTAATGCACGGCTGGATTTCTTCCTCTCAACACAATGAAGCTGGAGTTCGTGTTTATTGCTGCTAACAGTTAAAATGCTGTTATCGTATAAAATGCTGAAATGCAGAAAACTAGTACTTTCCAATCAGCACTATCTTTTAGCTTGCTATAAACCCCTTTGTGACTTGCCTAGGAAAGGCCTATTTGTTTTAAACAAGTTAGGCTTTGTCAACTGGTAACCGGCAAACAACCGGTATAAGTAGTTCACCTAAAAATAAAGTAAGGCTGTAACTTCATCTAGAAAATGGCTGTGGGGAAAAAAATACCACCTTTTTTTAGCTGGAAACGGTTTATTCAGATTGTTTCTTGTTGCGATTGTCCTTCCAGATACGGTAATTGAGGGCAGAAGCCATGGCTAAACAAAAAAAAAGCCAAGTGAAGAAAGGAACCATCAGAAACCCCGCCGTTCTGTTGACGTTATACCAGGAAGCAGCTGTGGCGGTGGCCGTGCCAGTCGTGAGCAGGAGCGTCACCAACCCCTGAAACACAGGAAGGTGGTTAGTGTTAGCGGCACTCGTTGCATCGCCTTGACTAGGTCGCCTCTGCCTGGCTCTTCCCGCTCGTCTCTGGCGCTTGTTGCATCCCTGAGGTAACTCCTGAGAAAACCAGCCAGCAAAAAAAGACAGATTTCTGCAGTTTTGAGTCAATTCGACTCCCAAAACAAACGAACAGGCACAAGAAAGGGTGTTGCAGTGGGGAGCAGGAGAGGGAGAACAAAACCCCTCTCACCCATTCCCTCTTTTATTTTTTTGGCAGCAGGAAGTGTCACGTTGACTCCGAGCCCAGTGTGACTTTAGGCAGGTCACTCAGCTGAGTAAACTTTACGCAGCCTTTTCCCGCCGGAGACGCTGCCCGGGGAGATGCGGTGCCAATGAACCAGACTGTAAGTGTCTTCTGCTGCTGCAGCGCTGCATGTGTACCTAGAGAACCAGGCAGGTATTTTTTGGTTTTGAGGCAAGCCGTTTCTCCTCAGACTGCAGAGAATTAGTCCTGTCTAAAATGGGTGCTGATTACCTAAGTAATGATAAGCTGCTCGTCACTGCTGTTTGCCAGAGATACCCAGGAATTTTAGCGCGGCGTACATGTTTACGTTTCCTAGTCACACAAAGCTCTTATCAGAGGGTGGCAGAAAGAGCTTCTTGAAATCGGAATGTTTAAGGGTGCTGCAGAAATGTCAGTTCTCTGGGGTATTTTAGAAAGCTTCTGCAAGCCGTATGCTCATTTTCAGGGAGAAAAAGATTATGACACAAAACGTTTGTCTTAGCACTTTGCAAATGAGAGCGGAAACACATAATTAAGAAACTTTTCCACTTACCCATCCCATTTTGTGAGCTCCAAAGAATACTGGAGTCCATACCCAGTTTAGTGCCAGCTGCCCTGCATACAGACCCAGAGGCACCACCGAGGTTTTGTTGAAGCCCCCCAGTTCCTTCCACACCAGGTAGGAGCCGTACCTGGAGAAAGCAGACGGAAGGTGTAATTCAGTGCTTTGGTGAGAAAGCAACGACACAGCCGCATCAAACAGAGTAACTTCAGTGCTAGGGACCGGGTTCGTTAACTGGCAGCACAGGGTGGATCACCGGCTGCGGATAACGACGTGGAGAGGGAAAAATTCCCAGTGGCAGCACCAGCTGCAGATAGCAACGTGGAGAGGGAAAAATTCCCAGTCCTGCCAGAGCGCTCGCTCCTGGGTGCAGGACCTGCTGCACTTCAGCCTCTTAAGAGAATGTCATGTTGAAGTGGAACCAAGTCTCAGATGCAAGAGTAAAAGGTAAGGCTGTAAACGGTGAAGAAACTGTTAATTTTGATGCTGGGAAATGGTGCTTTAAAATAAAATCTTAAAAAATAAACAAAAACCTTTGAAAATGGATGAGATCTATAGCAGAGGTAGGAATTGAGGTGGGAATGGGCAAAATGAATGGCATCCCAAAGGAGAGGTGAATGTGGGTACGGATGGTGTGAGAGCAGGAGCAACCCTACAGTCACGTTTCGGGAGGGAGGAGTGGATGGGACAAAGATGGGAAGAACAAAGATTTTAGGACTTCTGTGGGAAGAATTAACCACAAGGAGCATCCAGCACTCTTCCCACCTGCGAGATCCTGGCTGCTGAAAGATCCTCCAAAAATGTGAGGAAGATTTTGAGCCGATCTTAATGCCACAGAAGAACAGCTCAGTGGAGGGATCCCAGGATGTAAGCTGCTAAAGGCAGGAATACTCAGGGTGTGGGAGCCTTACTAGCCTAAGGTTTATTTTTGCACTGAAGGGATTAGAAAAGGGAGCACTCATCACCCAACTCTGGACTTTCCCTTTAGACATCAGCTAGATTTCAATCCGGATGACTGCACAGCCACTCCAAGCGACCACAGTGGAATCCCCTGGATAAAATGCCAACGTCTGGAATTTACACCCTTGCTTAAGAATTTTTAGGAGCAGACGGACATCCATAGGAGTAACTGCAAGGTCGTTTGTGAGGTCATCCAAGAAGAATTTTTATTTTCCCGTTTGACCCGGTCAGTGCCCCAAGCTTGCTGCTTGCCAGGGTGTGTTCACAGGGACTGAACAATCCAGCTTTGAGGTCTTGGCAGTCTGACTGCAGACTGTTAAAAAAAGGGGCCGTGTACACATTAGAAACTCAAGCGTTTCTCTCTGCGAAAGGCATCCGGACCCACATCTGTTCCTCAGTGATTCACAGAGCAGCAGTGGGGCCGGCGGTTGTTCACACATCTGACCGACTTCAGACCGAGACCGGGAAGGAAGCGAAATGCCAAGAAAGGCATGTAAGCTTATTACATCTTGCTTTTAGTTATTTCTTGGGTTTAATACATTCAAGAGATTCTAATCGGAGAGAGGTCATTCAAGGAGCGTGAATGACCTTGACGTTACCAGGCCTTTACCAGATTACAGAGCAAAAGGCCTGGCAATAAACACGAACTTTTCAGGGAGCTACATGTGTAGTACCTCACTGGGACCACCTGCCTCAGAACATACTGATTCTAATCTAAGTGATAAGTTGCCACAATTTGGCTTTTTACAATATTCATCCTGATATCCAGGTTTATGATGTGGATTTCTTAGAGGTTCCTTCCAACCCCTTCCACGCTGTGAATCTGGAAACAGGGTTAGGAATTGTGGGGTCAACTGTAAGGAAGCCCTTCGCGGGAGAGCCACTTAGCTCGTCTCTTTGAGAACAGGCTTTTTTTATTATTACAGGGCTGTAACGACACGAGCCGAATGCTAACTGCGTTCTAGCTCGCGCACGAAGAGTGACTCGGTACGTGGGGGCTGCGCGGACTCGAGCGGAACGCTGCCTCCCCGCTGGCGCAGCTGGCCGGAGCTAGCCGAGAAGCGCGTGACGCCGGGTGGACAGCTTCTAGGGCGGGCCGTGAGGAGTACCAAAACTGACCAAACACTCTCCTATGCGTATTTTTTGCTACGTCTTACCAAAAGTCACCGCTGCCAAAATACAGTATTACTGAGCTTCCAACGCTCCTGTGGGAATGGTATTTGGCCTTGTGATTACGTGTTCATCTGACAGCAATTGCTGGGCTGACAGGTATTCTAAACTAGTTAAATAAAGAGACAGCAGATAGGTTCAAACGCAGTTTAACGGCCTAGCAGTTGATCTGAAAGGACGTGTATGTTTTGATTTTGATTTCAGTTTCTTTAAACTGAGCTCTGCTAGAACACTGACGCCCTAATTCTCGCCAGCACGGCAGGCCTGCCCCTCAGAACCAATGAGGAAAGCAGCTTTTTAAACTCCTGCTTGTGATGTGGATACCTGTGCCTACGAACAACACCCAAAACATGCTTTTACCTGTTAAACGAGCAGCTTGACAGTTTCTTACAAA